TATGGACAAAAGATAGTCACTTCTAGGAACTAAGTACTGCGGAATGAATTACTGTAGACCTTTCAGGTACCTTTATCTGAGTTAGGCACAGAGTAAATATGATTAAGCCAGGAATATATTATATATATAACTGACACTAAGAAACACATAAAGGATATACCATTAAAATTGGAAATATAAGACACTAAAGCTGAGAAAACCCGAATTTTTCTTTTGCACTTTCGATATGAAAAAAAAATCTATGAGTCATAACTGTTTTAATATCCTTGTCTATATGAGTATATGAGTCATGTATGTATATATATATATCCTTGTCATATATGAATATGAGTCCTGTATGTTTATATATCCTTGTCTATATGAGTATATGAGTCCTGTATGTATATATATACCTGTCTTTATGAGTATATGAGACCTGTATGCTTACATATCCTTGTCTATATGAGTATGAGTACTGTATGTTTATATATCCTTGTCTATATGAGTATGAGTCCTGTATGTTTATATATCCTTGTCTATATGAGTATGAGTCCGTATGTTTATATATCCTTGTCTATATGAGTATGAGTCCGTATGTTTATATATCCTTGTCTATATGAGTATATGAGTCCTGTATGTTTATATATCCTTGTCTATATGAGTATGAGTCCTGTATGTTTATATTTCCTTGTCTATATGAGTATATGCGTGCTGAATGTTTATATATCCTTGTCTATATGAGTTTATGAGTCATGTATGTATAAATGTCCTTGTCTATATGAGTATGAGTACTATATGTTTATATATTCTTGTCTTTGTGAGTATGAGTCCTGTATGTTTATATATCCTTGTCTATATGAGTATATGAGTCCTGTATGTTTATATATCCTTGTCTATATGAGTATCAGTCCTGTATGTTTATATATCCTTGTCTATATGACTATATGAGTCCTGTATGTTTATATATCCTTGTCTATATGATTATCAGTCCTGTATGTTTATATATCCTTGTCTATATTAGTATGAGTCCTGTATGTTTATATATCCTTGTCTATATGAGTATGAGTCCTGTATGTTTATATATCCTTGTCTATATGAGTATGAGTCCTGTATGGCTGTTTGATAAATGTATTTATGAAATATATTCTACACAAGGTTTCCCTGTTTTCTGATAAAACCACCAGGGATCCGAAATAAAATATTCTTTACAATAAATATAAATAAAATATGTTTTGACCCAATCTGAACGATTATTTTATCAAAAAAACTTGAATATTGTTAAAACTGAGTAAGGAAGGGTCCTGTTGTTGGTCTGTAGATCACACAAAAAGTGTGACTGCCAGATTTTTATGTTTTCTGTTCTGTTGTGATAGCACACACACACACTCACACACACAGACAAACACAGAAATATCCTCCACTTACACTAAACATCCACTTAATGTAGAATCAACATTTTCCCTTTACAAACAACAAGCCTTCCCTATATACCCAACATTTTCCCTTTACACACAACTATCTTTTCCTTTATGTTCAACATTTTCCCTTTACACACAACAAGCCTTCCCTTTATACCAAACATTTTCCCTTTACATACTATTATCTTTCCCTTTATATCCAACATTTTCCCTTTACATACTACTATCTTCTTTTAAACACCAGATCCTTATTTTTTACACACAACATCATTTTATCTGATTTACAACATCCACTTCAACTTACCACATCATATCTCCTCTACCTCCCATCTGAATTGTTCTTTATTCTAGACCTAGCCCCCCCTCCTTCTACTAGACCTAGCCCCGCCCTTCCTTCTACTCCCCATCCTATGTTAAACCAATCTATCTAGAAAAGTGTAATATCCTTATGTCCAAGCTGGAAATAGTATAAAGGATAGATTGATATTACATAACGTACTAAAAATTGGCTTCTGCTCCAGTAAGTAAGCTTGGTTCGAATTCAACTTCAGTCATGTTCTAAAAGTAAGGGATTTAAAAGGGGAAGACGTAAGCGAAGTCAAAAAAAGAGATTTAAATAGAATAAAAGAAAGAATAAAATGAAAACTATCAATAACAGTATGAAAACTATCAGGAACAATATGAAAATTGAAAACTACCGGAAACAGTATGAAAACTACGAGTAACAGTATAAAAACTACCAGGAACTACGAGGAACAGTATGAAAACTACCAGGACCTTACGAGGAATAGTATAAAAACTACAAGAAATAGTATGGAAACTATATATATAGATAGATAGATAGAGATAGATGGAGATAGATAGGTAAAGATAGAATAAATCCCCCTATCCCAAGCATACCGCAGTACACTTCATTATCCTCGGAACTTAGACAATCTATTCTTAATATCCTGGATATAGAAATTTATGTGCCTCAACAGATAGACAAACAGATAGATAGATAGATCGAAAGATATATAGATAAGTGGATTAACTGCAAAGCAGTAGTTCTTGGGATAGAGATTGTTTAGACAAGAGGAAAACTGCAGAGCAATAGTTCTTGGGATAGATTATTCAGACAAGAAGAGAACCACTGCGGAGCAGTGGTTCTTGGGATGCAGTGGTTCTTTAGATAGATTGTTAAGACAAGAGGAGAAACTTCAGAGCGATAGTTCTTGTGATAGATTATTCAGACAAGAACAGAAACTGCAGAGCAATGGTTCTTGGGATATTGTTCAGACAAGAGGAGAAAATTGCAGAGCAGTAGTTCTTGGGATAGATTGTTAAGACAAGAGGAGAAAATACAGAGCAATCATTCTTGGGATGAATTATTCAGAGAAGTAGTTTTTTGGAGAGCTTTTTAGACAAGAGGAGAAGCTGCAGAGCTGTTGTTTTTGGGATAGATTATTAAGACAAGAGGAGAAACTGCAGAGCAGTTGTTCTTGGGATAGATTGTTTAGACAAGAGGAGAAACTGCAGAGCAGTTGTTCTTGGGATAGAGAAGACAAGAGGAGAAACTGCAGAGCAGTTGTTCTTGGGATAGAGATTGTTTAGACAAGAGGAGAAACTACAGAGCATTTGTTCTTGGGATAGAGATTGTTTAGACAAGAGGAGAAACTGTAGAGCAGTTTTTATTGGGATAGATTATTCAGACAAGAGAAGAAACTGCATAGCAGTAGTTTTTTGGATAGCTTTTTTGACAAGAGGAGAAACTGCAGAGCAGTTGTTCTTTGGATAGAGATTGTTTAGACAAGAGGAGAAACTGCAGAGCAGTTGTTCTTGGGATAGATTATTAAGACAAGAGGAGAAACTGCAGAGCAGTTGTTCTTGGGATAGATTGTTTAGACAAGAGGAGAAACTGCAGAGCAGTTGTTCTTGGGATAGATTATTAAGACAAGAGGAGAAACTGCAAAACAGTTGTTCTTGGGATAGATTGTTTAGACAAGAGGAGAAACTGCAGAGCAGTTGTTCTTTGAATAGAGATTGTTTAGACAATGGGAGAAACTACAGAGCAATTGTTCTTGGGATAGAGATTGTTTAGACAAGAGGAGAAACTGCAGAGCAGTTGTTCTTGGGATAGATTGTTCAGATCTGAGGAGAACCATTTAAGCATAAGTTTTGGGATAGATTTTAACGAAAAAATGTTGGCCCATTAAAAGTTCCTTTTCCACGTTAATAGGAACAGAGTAGGAGGGGCAAAGGAATAGGTAACAATGAGATTTGAATGGGTGTTGAAATGAAAGATTAAACAAGAGATGAAGAGAAGAAGGAGGAGAAAAGATAGTTAATGAGGCAAGAGAAGGAAAGGGTGTATACATCGTAGATAGATAGATAGATAACATGACGGATAGATAGATAGACGAGTCACAGATAAAAAGTTTTGAAAGACATTTCCTTTACCCTCGACACACGCATAAATCATAAATATTTAAATAGAAAATAATAATCTCTTGTTGTCTCACTTCTAACATTTGTCGGGCATACGCATTTGTCTTGCTCTCTACACGCCTTCTTTACTGCTTTACACTGTCGTCTATTTATACTTGTCTATTTATTTATGCATTTATCTAGTTTTTCTTCAAAAATATAATTCATTCTTCTTTTTACGCTCATCTATCTTTTTATATATTTAATATATTTATTTATATAAAGGAGTAAGTAAAGTAGCGATCAAAACCGAATTCAATTTGGGATCATCCTATACTCCCATTTAAAACTATGACTTTTAGGCATACTATAAATTCATATTTAAAACTTCCCAAAATACCAAATTCTTATTACCACTTTCTCCAAATAATGTAAAAAGTATTAAAGGGTCAAATGGTTTATTTTTTTTTCTTTCGTAAAAAACGTAAAGCTTGGAGGTGCGATTTTTTTTTCAAACATGACTCGTGTATTTTTTCCAACTAGCGAAACAAGGGGGAAAAATGGCCGACATTTGATTAATTCTAGAAAAAAGGAAAATATTCCGCTCTCTGATGTCAAATAAATATCTAAATTCTTTTGTAGTGAATTCTATGTAAAAAAAAACTGTTTATTTGAAAGTTATGCTTGTGAAACTTTTGTATCTTAAACCTGTGACTTCAGAGCACAGCCGGTTTATATCATTTTGGACGGTTCAACTTTTACCTATTTAAGACGTTAAACCCTCAATTTCAAGTTCAGTCGCATTAGCTGAGCGTTATCTTACTCAAAAGTTTTGTCCTCAGGTCGTTACAAATCATGTTGACCAGTCGAGTAACTCAATTACCATTTACACTTCCCTACAAGACACAAAAGAGATCAAAATAAATCATTTTTCAATTTTATTCTAGGTTTAACAACAATTTTAAATAGTTTAACATTTAGACGATGAGTGAATAAAAAAGATTGTAATTTTGTAATCCTTGAGGAACACAAATTGGCGCAATTATTTAATCCTGCTTTCTACAATTATTGGCACAATTAGAATATGGCTTAGTGTCTCCTGCAAAGACAATTTCTCTGAGATAAAATGTTGCCTCAATGTTTATGAGGAGTTAAAAACAAGAGTTTAAACTGTGAGCGGAACCCGAGTCATTATCCATCAATTCCAATTTTTCAGCAAGTGTTAATCGTCAACAAAGTAAATATGGAGTCAAGAAAACTTCGTAGACAATTTTCATCTGATGAAAGGTTTGTTCTTTAAGAGTAAAAAAAAACTCGAGTTAATTGGAATTGAACAGTTTAAACTTCTAGTTTTGTGTTTACGGCTTGCATTGAACTAGTTAATTTTGCAGGGGTAAATTTTTTTGTATTAATCGTGCATTTAAAAAAAAAATGAAAATGGTTTACCCTGTTCTCAAAACATTTAGGGGGTGATGAAATATACAGGGTGAACGTTGAACAATGACGACCTCTCCGGGTGTATGTTTACATCACATTTACACAACAGATTGTGTGTTTTAGACTCTATGTTGCACATTTCCGATATTTAACATATTTGATAACATCATCATTCATCACGGGGTGATTCATATATTTTTTGGCTGTTTTCTAGTTATTCCTCAATACTACTTCAAGTTTTAGATAAATTAAAAAAAAACAAAGAGAGGAGGAGGGATGAGGGGGGGGGGTTAGCTTGTTATAAATAAATATATCGTAAACTATATAAGATGGGTATTATGCATTATCTAACTCTACTAGTACAGCTTCTCCTGATGTCTAGATAAGAACTAAAACAGCTGTGAGTGTGCTTGAAGCACGCTAGTATGAAGGTGATACAGAGTGTGGTAGTGAGGTTGGCAGATTAACAGGGAATAGAGGCCGATCCATAGCCCGACCCATTGCCATACTGTAATTTAAACTATGATATTCCGCCCCTGAGGCGAGGGGAGAGGAGGCCAAACTCGGTGATGAAGCCATTTTTGAAGGACTGGCGGATTTTTCCTTTTCCAAGTCTGAACCTCGGTCTGATTTACAATCTTTCTCCTTTTCCCTGTCAGCAGCTTCCTTAGCAATAGATTCCTTGACTTTAATTAGTGTGTCGTAGCTGAGAGATCCCAGAGCAGTTTCTAGTTTATCTATCTTTCCTATTTTTAGTTCTAACTGATCTTCAAGTCGACGCCGTAGGTTCTTCTCCTTCCGATACTTCTTCCGGTAGTAGTCTACAATAGATAGAAGGTTAGAAATATAAATAGAACTTGATAGAGGTAGATGGATAGATAGAAGGTTAGAAATAAAAATAGAACTTGATGTTAGATGGATAGATAGAAGGTTAGAAATATAAATAGAGCTTGATACAGGTTAGATGGATAGATAGAAGGTTAGAAATATAAATAGAGCTTGATAGAGGTTAGATGGATAGATAGAAGGTTAGAAATATAAATAGAGCTTGATAGAGGTTAGATGGATAAATAAAAGGTTAGAAATATAAATAGAACTTGATAGAGGTTAGATGGATAGATAGAAGGTTAGAAATATAAATAGAGCTTTGATAGAGGTTAGATGGATAAATAAAAGGTTAGAAATATAAATAGAACTTGATAGAGGTTAGATGGATAGACAGAAGGTTAGAAATATAAATAGAACTTGATAGAGGTTAGATGGATAGAAAGAAGGTTAGAAAGATAGATGTAACTTAAACGAGGATGGATGGATAGATAGAAGGTTAGAAATATAAATAGAACTTGATAGAGGTTAGATGGATAGATAGAAGGTTAGAAATATAAATAGAACTTGATAGAGGTTAGATGGATAGATAGAAGGTTAGAAAGATAGATGCTGATCGAGGGTAGATGGATAGATTTTCGGTTAGAAAGATAGATGTAACTTCAACGAAGTTAGAAGGATAGTTAGTAGATAGATAGAGCAAGGTTAGATAGATAGATAAAATATGATAAATTGCAGATATGTAAAGTATGGCCAAAGTAACGCAATCTAAGTTCTCTCTGTTTTATCTAGTTCTATAGATAGATAGATAGATAGATAGATAGATAGATAGATAGACAGCTTAAAGGATGGATACACATATAAATAGATATATAAACAGAGAGTCTTATCTATATAGATAGATAGATAGATAGTATGAAAGAAGCATGTAATCAAGTTTTTAGATCAGTTTAATGTAGTTTTAAGAACCTGGAGAAGGGAACTTGAAGTAGAGTTACAGGAGTTTAAGGTTTAGGATAGATCGATAAATAGATAGATAGATAGATAGATAGATAGAGAGAGATAGGTAGATAGATAGATAGATAGATAGAGAGATAGAGAGATAGATAAATAGATAGATAGAAAGATAGATAGATTATATTATTATATTGGAGTTATTAGGGCGTAAAGTCGTGCTGTTTATTCTGGGCTAACTCTGTTTCCCCTGGGTAGAAATATGGAAGAAAAAAGTATTAAATGACTAATTTATTGTGTGTATTTTTTGAAAATATTTTATTTAGAATTAAGAAGAGTTCAGTAAATAAGAGGATTGAATTAAATACCTGATTTTTTGGATTCTTCATCTATTATTTTTCTCTTGATATTTGACTGGGATTCTCTGGTTTCTGCTCTAGTTTCTCCTAAAACAATAGAACATAATGAAAACCATGAATAATATGGTTTGTAAGATGGTTTGTAAATGAATTGTGTTTAATCTTGTCAGATCTCGCCTGATGTAAAGTTCACTTTTTGCATCAGATCTTCAGGGTTAAAATGTTAAAATGCTAAAATTCTGACACTTGGACGTTTTCATATAACAATAGATAATCTCATTCAGACGCACGCAGCCCCCCCCCCTTTCATCTCCAGGTACCCATCAAACTCCCCACTTCCAAGCACCCATCAGCCACATCTAGCCTTCTTATAAAATTTCCCACCCTCCTATCAGATTTACTCTACCAACCCGCTTGTTCTTAATCTTTTTTTAACTCCCACACTTCAGTTTTTATTTTTTGCACAACTATCTTACATCTTATGTACAGTAGTCGACTCCCACACTTCAGTTTTTATTTTTGCACAACTATCTTACATCTTATGTACAGTAGTCGACTCCCACACTTCAGTTTTTATTTTTTGGACAACTATCTTACATCTTATGTACAGTAGTCGACTCCCACACTTCAGTTTTTATTTTTTGCACAACTATCTTACATCTTATGTACAGTAGTCGACTTTTTTACCTCTAACAGGTTATAGAAAATATTGCAAATAAAAGGTTGGGAAAATAAGTCATAGCATATTGAGTCAGATTCAAAACTTATTGTGAAAAATTCTGAAAATCAGAGATATTCTTTTTTAAATACAAAAACAAAAAACAAGAAGTTACAACGTATTTATTTTTCATTTATGCTTAATTGTCATGAAATCCAATTTTCTTCAACTTATTGGTTCCATTTTATTCCGGCTTTAACTTTCATGATTTATGATGCCCCAATAAATGAGAAGACTGGACAGTATTTAAGAATGAAGTCATTTTTACCTAGAATAAATGTTTTAATACCTAGAACTGAATTTCCAGTGAATATTACCACTATGGTCCAGCCCCCTTTTACCTGGAACCAAAGGTCCAGCCCACTTTTACCTGGAACTAAAGGTCCAGCCCCCTTTTACCTGGAACTAAAGGTCCAGCCCCAGCCCACTTTTACCTGGAACTAAAGGTCCAGCCCCTTTTTACCTGGAACTAAAGGTCCAGCCCACTTTTACCTGGAACTAAAGGTCCAGCCCCTTTTTACCTGGAACTAAAGGTCCAGCCCACTTTTACCTGGAACTAAAGGTCTAATCCATGTTACCTGAAACTTAAGTTCGAATTCATGTTTACCTTTTTTACTGCAACTAAAGGTCTAACCCATTTTTACCTTTAACTAAATTTTCAGCCTGTTTGTCTCTAAACTAAACTAAAGGTTGAGCCCATTTTTACCTTTAAATGAAGATTCAGCCAATTTCTACCTGGAAATGAAGGTTCAGTCCATTTGAATCTTGAACAAAGGTTTAAAGCTATTTTTACCTGAAACCGAATCTTCCTTTTTAGCATTCTCCACCGCCTTGCTGATTAAAGTTTGTATATGATTCATCATCTGGAACATACTACCCATCCTCCCTCCTTCCTCTCCTTTACCCTCCCTCACCTCCTCATCCTCCTCCTCCATCCTCTCCCCCTCATCCCTTCTCAGCTCTGCCTCTTCAATATCATCATCGGAGGTCTGCTCAGCTTCTCCTATATCTGACTCTGATCTGACAGATATATCCTCCTGAATATTAATCATTTTATTCTAGAGTTCCTAGATTGATGTCTACCTGTCTATCTACCTGTTTATCTACCTGTCTATCTACCTTTCTATCTACCTGTCTATCTACCTGTCTATCTACCTGTTTATCTACCTGTTTATCTACCTGTCTATATACCAGTCTATCTACTTGTCTATCTACCTGTCTATCTACCTGTCTAATCTACCTGTCTATCTACCTGTGTATCTACCTGTCTATGTACCTGTCTATTTACCTATCTATCTACTTGTCTATCTACTTATCTATCTACCTGTCTATCTACCTGTTTATCTACCTGTATATCTACCTGTATATCACCTATCTATCACCCTATCTCTCTACCTGTATATCTACCTATCTATCACCCTATCTCTCTACCTGTATATCTACCTATCTATCACCCTATCTCTCTACCTGTATGTCTGAATGAGTTCTGGAGAGATTAAGAGCATTTTCCTCCCTCTCTGCAATATCATCTTTAATATCTACTTCTTTCTCTGGACTCCGATGCAACCTAGAAACATGATTTTAGAAATAATTCAGGATAGAATGTAACGGATTAAAGTACTGTTAGTAGGTAGAGCAGCCAAAAAAAATTAGAAGTGACATTAAAAAGAAAATGTTGGATCAAAATTTAAAGTTAGTTCAAAAATTTTAAAAATATTTAATGTGGAAGAAATGAAACCAAACTTGATTGATAAATCTTCAAATCTGATTTCAAAGATATAAATTTTGCCTAAGGAGTTCGTGCCTCAAATTCAAATTTTTTAATACTACAATATATATTTTCAACCTAATGGGGTTAACTTGAAATATTTCAAATTTGAAATATTAGTCTACGACATCTTGTTGCAAAGAATTAGTGTTTAGAAAACCCGAGTTTGTGGAAAGAACTTCAGTTCATTAAATTAAAAGCAAAAATTATTTGAACTACGTAACCCCACTTCTGTTGTTGCGCCGGTTTAAGTTGAAGAATACAAAAAACTGTCTCAAATTTACGATAATATTTTAGTTGAACTTCAAGTGAATTCTTATCTATGTTTATTGTACAAAAATGTCAATAATGAAACAAACAAAAAGTTTCCGCAAATAATCATTGAATCAATATTGCAATTGATTATCTACACTCTGCATAGAACTTGAAATACCAGGATATTTTAGTGTAAGTACTTTTATCAGTTCAAAGAAATTAAGATAGAGCTAGAAATTTGAAATAAACAATCCAATAAACCTGGCTGAGAAGAAACTTAGGAAGACTTTGAGAAGAATATTGCTCTCGATTTAAGTTTTGAAATTTATATCATAAAATTTTTAGATTCAATTTTAAAAGATGAATAACCAAATTCATATATGTGACGCTTGGTTTTTGTTTTTATTAATTATACAACTCTTAGAATTGAGATCTTTTGTAAAACAAGTTAAATTTAATCTCTGAAATCATAGAAATTCAAAGTTTCAAACAAACATTTAGATCAAAATAGAAAAGAGAAAATAATCTATAATTATTAAATATGATACATGTACTGCATACAGTACTTCACACTGAACAGAATACTTAAAACTGTACAAGCATCCATTTATAATAATGAATGCAAAATAAACAAAATTCAAAGATAGCTTTTGGAATATCCGCAGACTCGTACTTTGTTGAAAACAAAACTTTCTTCGAAAACCCTTTAAATCGTTTTCTATAAATCGATATTGAGCTAAAAATAGAAGGATTTTCTCTACCATTCTTGATCATGCAGGGCAAAGGTTTAAAGGGTTCGCTCGACAAAAGAATGGTCACTTTAATCAAACAGTCCTTTTAAAAAAAACGTGAGGAAAACGTTCCTTTTTTATCAAACCCCAAGATTTCTTTCAGATCATTAAGAATAAAATTATAAAAAAATGTTCCACAATTATAATAGAAATCTGCATGAAATCTTCCGATATATTGAAATGGTCATTTAAACATTTAAACATTTAAATATTTAAATATCCAACTATCTTTAAATAATCATTATTTTTGTATCTTTTAGAATTTTTCATTTATCGTTATTTAAAAAACAGAAAATAATTAAATATAAACAATTTTCAACATGATAGAGAGAGTTATATGCATATGATATATTCAAGCATATACACTTTATCTAGATAGCTAAATAGAAAATTGTTTAGATAGATAGATAGCTAAATAGAAAATTGTTTAGATAGATGAAAGCTAAATAGAAAATTGTTTAGATAGATAGATAGCTAAAAAGTGCTTATATACGTCAGAAAAGTAATTGTTCGCGGGTTTCAATCAATTAAATTTAGTTTTATAAAATTGAACTCTGCAACAATGAGATGTTTTGACGTTTTTAAAACCGATAATTCATTTTACAAGGAAATAATTTGAACAATGTTTTTTTTCATAATTTGTATAAATTGTGTTTACCAGTTTATAGACAAGGTTTCCATTGAATTCAATTTTGAACAGAAAAGAGTAATTATTGGATATTTACTTTCTGTTTGACGAGTTTATCATTAATGAATTAATTTAGCTAAAATACACTTAGTTTATACAGCCCTTGTGCATAAAATATATTAACATATACTTTGTATATTGTATAGTCAAGAGTGTAAATATTGGATAATATCAATAAAACATGAACAAAATAAAAAGAAAAAAGTATCAAACTTTTATTTCAAAATCCATTTATTTTTTTAAATTCTAGTCTCTGACGTTAAAAAGAACTTTTTTCTTTTTAGATGACTTAAAATGGCTTTGATTGAATTTTTTGTTGGCACCTAGATTGTTAGTTTTGACTTACCCCTGTAAGTGTTTAATCATATCCCCGTAGTTCTGCTTGTAGGTCTCCAGCAGGCTGTGCGGGTTGGGGGAGGAGGGCAAGGACAAGGAGGGAAGGTTGGGCAGGTTCTGAAGGTTAGGTAGATTCTGCAGGTTTGGAAGGTTTTGAAGATTGGGAAGGTTTTGAAGATTGGGAAGGTTTTGAAGATTAGGAAGGTTTTGAAGATTTGGGATATTTTGAAGGCTGGGCATGTTCTGAAGATGGTTGGGAAGATTGCCTAAACCAGGAAGAACACCAGACCGGGAAAGAAGGGCGGCCTAAATATAGAACAAATTTTGGAATTGAAAAATATCTGGAAAATGTAAGAAAAGTTTCAATAAATTAAAGAAGTGTCAACGAATTTTTAAAAGAAACCCTTTAAACATTTCTGAAAGCAGGAGAGAAAAAGAGAAAAAGAGTGTAATTTTTGAATACCTGAGCCGCAGAGCTGTTCAAAGACATGAGATGTGCTGCTCCCATATGAGGATGATGAGGAGGTCCTCCGAACCTCTCTAGTCCTCCTTCCTTCGGAAAAGGGTTGAATGGGTCCGTGTTGAAGGACTGCCCTGAGCCTGGGTGGGAAAGACGAAGCATCGCGTCCTGGGGGCTCATCGCAGGGAACGGCATCACACGTTTCGGTGGCCTGCCAGGTCTAGTGTTAGTTAGGGGTCACATGTACACATGTACATGACCAGTATATACAAATAAAGTATACAGTACACAACCAGCAGTACATAAACCTTGCATTATTCAGTACGTACAACGTAGTGACTATAGTAGTCCTACATAAAGTTTACATGTACACTATTATATGTAGATCAAGAATACACTTCACCGTACATTTACGCTTAAAGAGTGCACACACACTACCAGTATATGTACCAAAAGTGTACACTACACTGCAAAATGACAAGTATTAATACTTAAGTTTACATGTACACTATACCTTTATATGTACATAATGAAGACACAAAATTGTTCATAACCATGACATGTAAATCAAATGTCATGAACACGACCAGTATAAAATTTACATACATGTACATTTTGGGGAAAAGGGTGGGGTGGAAAAGTAGCATAAAAGGAAGATATTAAATTGTATAAGACAGGGGTTGGGGAGGAAAAAGAGTAGCGTAAAGGGAAAATATTAAAGCTTGTTTAGAAAGGTTTTATCTTCTGATTCAATTACGAAGTTAAGGTTTCATGTAGCTTAAGCTCAGTCTTTATCCTTTATAATCTTTCGCTCTATACTTTTATATATACTTCCCAGTCCACCGATATCTTACTATCTATCTATCTAGAAATTCTATCTATCTATCCAACCATTCTTTTTTAATTCTGTATTTTCCGATGTTTTCTCAACTAAATCCGATTACGGAGTATCAACATTATTAAACTATAGTCGATCGGGCGTAGGGATATATTATGGATAAGGGAGGGATATATTATGGATAAGGGAGGTATTTATTATGGATAAGGGAGGGATATATTATGGATAAGGGAGGGATATATTATGGATAAAGGGGAGGGATATATTATGGATAAGGGAGGGATATATTATGGATAAGGTAGGGATATATTATGGATAAGGGAGGGATATATTATGGATAAGGGAGGGATATATTATGGATAAGGGAGGGATACATTATGGATAAGGGAGGGATATATTATGGATAAGGGAAGGATATATTATGGATAAGGGAAGGATATATTATGGATAAGGGAAGGATATATTATGGATAAGGGAGGGATATTTTATGGATAAGGGAAGGGGGATGATGATAAGGTGGATAAGGGATGAAATGGGGGTCTCTTGAGTAGGAAAGTAAGGAGAATGAGGGTAGGGTGGAAAAGGGAGGAGCAGGGATAGAAATATATATAGGGTATAATAAAGTAGGTATACTAATGATATTTTAACCATGTGTTTTTCACATGAAACAAAACGTCCTATCTGAACATTTCCTCCTTCTTATCAAATACAGAGTTTAGGCTTCAGCTTCTATTTATTCAATAGAAACAACAATGTGGCACATTCAAAATAGTTACAACTTTTAAAAAAAAATCCTTTTTAACACAGAAAAATAAAATTATTATTGAATTTAGCCAAGATCAAGACAAATAATTGCGAAAAAACTGGTCTAAAGTTCATGTTTATTTAAAACATTAGAAACGATGAATATTTACATACAGATTCTAAACTGGGACTGCTGATCACATCAGGATATATTTTCAGAGAAGAATAAAATTCTTAAATGAAAGAAAAACGAAAAGAAGGAAAACAGATTTCCCTGAAACCTTAGTTGTTTAAATAAAGGAAATAATCCGCTCCATAAATAAACATTTTCTCAGATTAGCTTATATATGTATCGCCCCCGCTCTCACTTTCCACCCCTTTCTCTTTAACCCGATTTAACCACTAAATGTGTGATTTGTAGATTGTTTAAAACCAGAAAATCAAATAAGTGTGAGAATAAGGGATGCATTCGAAAATAAACCTTTTATGAATTTTCCCCCCTTCCCGCTTTTCCTCAACCTTTTTTTTTATTTTCTGGTTTATCTTTGTCTTTTTCCAATTATTCCTCCTTTCCCCTTCGCCCCTCCGGCCTCCTTCTTAATAACCCTTTTTTTTAACCTTTTTCAAGGTTCTGATCAACCTTAGCATTTTTCCTTTACTCCTCTTCCTTATCTCTTTCTTTATTGAATTCTTCTTTCTGCATACCTTCGTGTTTTAGAATTTTTCCTTTACTCCCCTTCCCCCTCTCCTTGTTTATTGAATTCTTCTTTCAATCCTTATTCACTTTTCTGCATACCTCGTGTTTTAGCATTTTTCCTTTACTCACCGTTTTTATTCTATTTATAATCCTCCACACCCTCGTCTTTCTGCAAGAACTCTTTCAGGATAGGAAAAACGATAGA